GAAAAATAGAGAAGGGGTGGGAACTGGAAGTGGTGATGAATATTGGAAACAGCACAGGGTCAAGCAAACATTCCCCCCTGGGAGACTGAGGAGGAGTGACACTGGAGAGGAAGGCTCTGAAGCGCTAGTGTCAAGGATTATGAATTGCACCACATGAAACTGGACAGATCAAAAATGGTCAAGGCTAGGTACAGTGGCTCATGCCTGTAATCCCAGCAACTGTGGGAGACTGAGGTGGGAGGATTGCTTGAGCCCAGGAGTTTGATACCAGCCTGGGCAACATAGCGAGACCTTGTTTCAATCAGTTAATCAATCAATCAAGATGCCCAAAATGTAGCTTATAGGGATGAGGTCTTGCTATGTTGACCAGCCTGGGTAAAATAGTGAGAACTTGTCTCTATAAATCAATCAATTAATCAATCAAAATGACCAAATGTAGCAATTTTATATGCTTTTTTATAAGAGACCTGCTTCCTACTGAGTGTTATAGTCTATGGGTCATCTAGTGATTGAAATAGCCGTGGGAGAAATCACTGTCATAGTACAAATGTAATAACAGAGGTTCATAGTTCAGTATCCAGAATCATTAAGAAATAGCTACTTTATATCTAGTATCCTCTGAGAGAGTAAACTATATAACATAAGATAGAAAAATATTTATTTTAGCTAGGCATTGTGGCTCAAGCCTATAGTTCCAGCACTTTGGGAGACTGAGGGGGGAGGATTGCTTGAACCCAGAAGTTGGAGACCAGCCTGGGCAATATAGTTAGACCTCATCTCTACAAAAAAAAAAACTCCCCAAAATTGGCCCGGTGTGATGGCATGGTAGCTGAGTAGTACCAGCTACCCTGGAGAATAAGGTGGAAGGATCGCCTGAGCCCAGGAGGTCGAGGCTGTGGTGAGCTGTGATCGTGCCACTGCACTTCACTCTGGGTGTCAGAGTGATACCCTGACTCAAACAAACAAACAAACAAACAAACAAACAAAAAACTCAAAAGGTAGCAACTCCATAGCATAAGGGGCCAGCTTACTACTGAACAGTGTTATAGCCTGTGCGGCATTTAGTGCAAGGGTTAGTCTTCTCTCATTGAAACAGCCCCGGTCAAGAAATCACTATTACAGCACAGACATAATAAAGAGGGTCATAGTTCAGTCTCCAGGATCATTAAGACGTTACATTATGTCTCATATATTGAGAGGGTAAACTATATAACACAGAACAGAAGAATATTTACTTTAAAAGTTGAAATGAAAAGTTTCAGTGCTAAACAGATCAGCGTTTATATGAATATTTCATTTCTTCTTTTGCATTTTGTGTGTATGTGTATTGAGAATGGGCCGTATACATGAGCACAACCAATACCAAAAAGGAAAACACAACATGAGGAGGTAAGGAGGATGGTTAATTTATTTCAAATGCCTGTTCCAAGTCTAGGTCTGTGGGCTCAGGGATCATATCTGGATCTTCCCTTAAATTTTACTTCATCTGTCTGGTGCTTCTGATAACGAGATGATATTCTGCCGAATACCTATCATGGGAAAATGCTATTTTAACTGTATGTATGTATGAATGAATGAATGAATGAGTCAGGGGTCTCACTCTGTTGCCCAGGCTGGAGTACAGGTGGTATGATAATGACGATCACAGGTCACGGCAGCCTTGACCTCTTGGGCTCAGGCTGGCACCTGAAATGCCAGCTACTGGGGAGGCTGATGTGGAAGGATCACCTGAGCCCAGCAGGTCGAGACTGTGGTGGCTGTGAGCGCACCACTGCACTCCAGCCTGGGTGACAGAGTAAGACTCCTACTCAAAAAAAAGTTGAAGGGCGAAGTAGCTCAAATTCCTGTACTTTTTAAGCCACATAACTAAAGCTATTAAAAAAAAAATCTGTTCAGGAAAAAAAGTTTCTTGCCAGCACAAACACACATGTACATATGTCATGACAAAGGAGCATGGCTAGCCATATCGTTGACCATAATGTCCAGTTGACACATTTCTCATTATGGCTGAATTGAAGGCTAAGGTTTTTTTCAGAAGTCAACAAAGTGAGCTCTTAGGGAATCACAAGCATCTTTTTCTTGAGTTACTTTTGTACATTGTTGACCACAGTTTAGAAGGATGCATAGGTGAGTACATGTGAAAAGATCTTGGTCAGCTTTCCCAAGTCAGATTTGGGCTAGGAGCCAGCAGCAAATCTGAAGAAATCAAGATCTCTGTGCCAGGGGCTCCATTAACATGCAGAATCCTTGCATGGGCAGAAGAGAGCTGCACATTCTTTTTTTTTTTTTTTTTTTTTTTT